TTCTCTGCAATGATGGTGGACGGCAGCAAGTTACCAATACACGGCGAAGCAGTGCTACACCTACAAATTGGACCACTGCGCTGGAGACCTGCACTCCCCATCACCAACAAATCAAAGGGCTTGATTTGATCTTCGGGCGAGACTTCTTAAAAAGATTCAACCCCGAGATCAACAGGGCGAATCACACCGCAAGCATCTACAATAATGGACAGAGAGCACAGCTACCCAACTGGGACGATACAGGAGATATTCAGTAGAGACACTCGCACGATTCGAGAAGGACGTGAAGCGAACCGACACCGGGTTCCTGGCGATAGCAACAAAGGTGGAGAACGATGGAGAGAAGACCTCGGAACCTCCGGAAAATATCAAGGAATTGCTGAAGGAGTTCCAAGACATTCTCCCTGAAGATCTTCCGAACGAGCTACCGCCATACCGAACGCACCAACACGGAATCGTGGAGGAACCAGGTTCGAAACCGACCTTCCGAGCACCATATCGGCTCAGCCCCACCAAACTAGCCGACATGAAGAAATAGATCGAGTATCTCCTCGCCAAAGGACTCATCCGACCATCCACTTCGCCATGCGGTGCCCCAGTGCTCTTCACACCGAAACCGGATGGAAGCCTGCGCATGTGCATTGATTACCGAGCTCTCAACAAGCAGACCATCAAGAATAAATATCCGATACCACGAATCGATGACTTGCTTGACCAACTTCGAGGAGCTACGGGATTTTCCAAATTGGATCTGCGGTCTGGATACTGGCAGATATGGATGGCGGACAACTCTATCCACAAAACTGCTTTCCGAACTCAGTATGGATCGTACGAGTATTTGGTAATGCCATTCGGACTCACCAACGCACCGGCAACATTCCAAGCCGAAATGAACCACATTCTACGACCACACCATCACCGTGGGAGACCAGGTGCTCCTTGACACCCGCAACCTTGACATCAGCCATCTCCCATCTAAACTGCGACCTCGCTTCTGCGGGCCTTTCCTCGTTGAAGCACAGGTCACTCCTGTTACCTTCCGCTTACGCCTGCCAGCTACCTGGAAGATTCACAATGCCTTCCATGTCCAACTTCTGAAGCCCTATCGGGATCCGAACACGATCTTCGTCGGACGCCAACCACCGCCGCCGCCGCCCGTCCTCGTCCACAATGAACCTGAGTACGAGGTCGAGTCCGGTGCTTGCACACCGCCGTCGTCGGACTGGCACCGTGGAGCTTCTCATCCATTGGAAGGGTTATGATCCTTCTGAGGACAGCTGGGTACCTGAGTCCGACATGGGTAACGCCCGTCGTCCTCTGCATGACTACCTTGTTAAGCAGGGTGTTACTTCTACCACCCAGCCTTGAGGGGGGGAAGTGTGGAGAGTACGACCCTGTTACACCCACTTGTCCCTTTCCCTTATTTTCCTTTCTATTTCATTTCTCTTGTTCTCCCATCTCATTTGATTTCCTATTCTCTATTTTCCATTATCCTTTGGCTTATCCTGCTATTATAATTATATCACCGGACCAGGCTTGGGATGTACTGGTGCGCTATATCTAGCGTATCCTGCCGTAATCCCTTAAAGCAATAGCCTCGCGTGGCTATACGCAGGGTGATTCTATCTTCTAGAAGGGTCTATTTCCTTAGGATAAGATAAACCTGGTTACCTGATGTACCCTGGAAGTATAAAAGCACCTTGTAACTGATCGATAGTGCAACCTTTCCTCGAGTCATTCGATCTTGTGACAGAAGGGATGTGCAGGCATGTAAGGGAACCCGAGGGGACCACTGGACAGAGAAGGGTAGTGTAGCTGCGAGCAACGTTAGGGTCAGAAGAGGGGTCGGCAAGTGCAACAGCGGCAGGCGCGGCAAACGGCGTGAGTGTGGCGTTGTCGTGGAAGAAGCAGGCAGATTCACCGGAGTCAAGTGTGAAGGAGAGCGAAGCAGTAGCAGCAGACGAAGGAGGAGCGAGTGTGGAGCCTAGGCAAGACAAAGCAAATAGTCATACGCCTGACGTAGCGGGGGAGTCTGTACTACACACATGTGCTACGCCTAAGCTAGAGAACACAGGTTAATAAGATCCAGACACAGTAGAAGCGTCAGCATACAGAGAATGCAGGACAGAACTAATATGATCCATGTCTAACTCAAAAACAGGCACATCATGGCGCACGAGCCTAGGCCTTGAGGGAGGTCCGAGGCCGGGCCGAAGCGGCGACGAAAGAAGTCGTCAAGGCGGCAGAAGCAGCGGGCGATCGGGTGCAGGTGGCGGCAAACAGTGCCACGAAGGGGCCTAGTCTAGAGCTGGTACCGGCAGCTCACAGCACCGGAGCCGCCTATAGTCGCCAAGCTGCGAGGGCCACCACCGTGGCCACCACCTCCAGAGGCTCCTGGCCACCTTGGCGGGAGGCGGGCCCACGGCTGTTGCTGCTGCTTGCGGCTGCGACTGCTACTGCTGCTCCTGGACACCAGCCCCAACCCCCTCGTTAGGACCACTGTCCCTGCACCACCACCAGCGCCACCACCACGCCCTCCCTTGGGGCTACGATGGCCTCGACGTTGTCGCTGCTGCGGGAAGGCCGCAGCTGCGGTCTCAGTGGCAGGGGCAGCCATAAGCGACCGCAGCGGAAACGACAGCATACGTGCACTGGGAGGGAGCACAGCCCTGATTGATAGGGACTGCCGCAACACCGCTAGATGAGCGATAGTGCGCTGGCGAGTCTCTATCTCAGACATGGCAGCGACAAAGGCGGTCAGGGTGAGGTCACCAAGGTGCTGGCTAAGGAAGTGGTCGCGGGTAGTGGCTAAGCGGTCAGGTAGGCGCATGGCAATCAGGTACAGGGTAGTGCAAGATTGGTGGGGGGAAGGCAGTGAGCTGGGCGGTAGTGCTAGCAGCGCGGTAGCTAGTCACGAGTGCACGGAGGTGAGTGGCGAGGTCAGCGACAGTGGAGAAAGCGGAAAGATTGAAGAATAGCACAAGGAGGATCAAGCGGCTAGCGGAGGCAGAGGCGGGTGTGGAGTAGCGCGCAACTACTACATCTAGGAAATCCTTGGCGTTCGAGACAGCAGTGAAGCGCGGACGCTCAGACAGGGGAAGAGCATGATTAATGGCGAGCTGCGCTATAGCATCGCGGGAATCCCAGACAGCGCGAGGGAGGGCAGCAACAGAAAAGGCCTCACGCTCAGCAGTGGTGGGGTCAGCAGGGAGGGGATGCAAGCCATCAACATGCATAGCCAGGGAGTGCCCATCGTGGTGCTGACATGTCAGGTGATGGCGAAGATCGACAAGCCAGGCGGCGAAGTCGATCACGTGCCCCTCCGCGTCCAGGCGGAGTACGTCGTCCGCCAACATGGAACCTCTGCGTCACAGCTCCATGGCGGCACAACGACACAACAACTCAGCAACACGGCGGCACAGCGACACGGCGGCATAGCGGCACAGGTACTCGGTGCACTACGGCACAGCGGCGTGGCGGCATGACTCTCCGGTGGGAAGACCGGGCAGAAGGCCGAGCAGGGCGCACAGGGCCTGAGGTGAGCAGCAGGCCGGCGAGGCGCTATGACCGGCAGGGTGCAAAGGGGCCGGCGGAGCGCTAGGGCCAGGTAGGCGCTCGAGGGGCTGGCAGGGCGTCAAGGGCCGGTGGGGCACTAAGGGCCAGCGAGGCGCTAAGGGCCAGCTAGGCGCTAAGGGTCGGCGAGGCGCTAAGGGCCGGCGAGCACGGGAGGGGCCGGCGAGGTACGCGAGGGGCCGGCGAGTGCGAAGGGCTGGCGAGGCGCGCGAGGGGCCGGTCGTGTGCGCGAAGGGCCAGCGGGCACGTGAGGGGCCGGCGAGATACGCGAGGGGCGGGCGAGCGCGAAGGGTCGGCGAGGTACGCGAGGGACAGGCGCGGTACGCGAGGGGCAGGCAGGCACGTGAGGGGCCGGTAGGGTGCTGAGGGCCAGCAAGGTGCGCTAGGGGCCGGCGGGGCGCAAGGGGCCGATAGGGCGCTAGGGGCCTGCGGGGCGCTAGGGCGCGGTAAGGCTAGGGTAAAACTGGGCGGAAGTCTAGGGCGAGGGGCAGATGCGGGTGGGCGGACCTAACGTACTATGATACCATGTTAGAATAGCAGAATAACTAGAAACAAGGGAGACATAGGGTTGGAGTTGTACCCTCTAAGAATACACACCTATCCAGCCTATAACTTCTACATACAAATAAATGTATAAGTTGACAGAGTGATTCGCTCATTGAGCTGCAAAGCTGTCAGCCGCGAATTAAACGAATTAATTTGCCTGACTACGATAGCGTTTGCGCTCTTACTTGAGCACGGGTAATCACGAATATTCCCCTGTCCACCCGGCGTAGTATGCGCCACATGGACCAGGCACAGTTTGACGAGTTGTTGGCAAAATTCGCTGCCACGAAGGCTCGCCTAACAGCTGTGCTAAATGACAACGGAAAGCTTAGCGCCGAAGTTACCGAGCTTTGCCAGACGCAAGAGTCTACGTGCCAGAAGTAGACCGCCCTCGCGGACGCCGCCAGCACTGGACGTGTCGAAGCAGTATTGGATGAGATCGCACGCGACATGTCGTAGGAGCGCCATGATGATGAAGCGGCGGTAGTAACGAATGCCGCCGCACGTGCCACGGCAGCTGCATCATCTGCGACAATGGCCGCCGCCTGCTTCGAAGTAGCAGCAACAGTTTTTGCAGCAGCCACAGCCACGCCAATTGTACCAATGGCTAAGATAAAGTCGCCGATCTTGCCCCCTTTTAACCCCACGGACAAAAACACGACCATGACGGGCTGGCTTTTTGCGATGGAGCTTTATTTTGATGTTGTTGGGATGACTTTTGATGATTTACGAATCAAGCTGGTTGTTTCACTACGGAGGGGACCTGCACTGGATTGGTGGTGATAAATGCTAAGTGAGACGAGGACTTCGGCAGGGAACACTCAGGGGATTTTCGGGAGTTCAGAATCTGCTGCCTGGGACGCAACGTATCAATTTTTGGATCGGCCGAGATTCGCACGTGGATAGCGTGGGGTGCAGCTCTGCGTAAACGTATCGAGCCCATATCCACCCCAGACAACGCACGCTCAAAGCTGGACACCTGGCGCCAGTTGACCTCTGTCCAGGATTACGCGTCATCATTCCAGGCATCGTGTGACCAAATCACCGACCTATCAGAAGCGGAGAAAAAGAGCCGGTTCATCATTGGGCTCAAATCCGACGTTCGCAACTTGCCCTTAGAGCGGTGTCTGCTCGAGATCGATGCCCGATTGGTCGACAGCATCTCGTTGGCCATACGCTATCGCGTGCGAACAGTTCGCATGAAGTGTGGTGACAATTTCAGTTTCAGCGCGCCGATGTCGGCAACGACGCTCGATGGCTACGATGTGCTGGGACGAGATTGGCGTCGGCGACACAATCCGCAAATCGGTTGGACGATAGGCGAGTGCACAGTGAAGTGTGCGAATGGCTGGCAGAAACTTCCGAGCTGGCGAGGAGCAGAACCGATAACGACACGCGTCAACGCAATTACACTAACATGCGTGGTCAAGAAAGGCGCGGACCTGTATGCCGTCCATCTGAAGGAATCAACGGACGACGATAAACCGGCCGACATCGATAAGCTCTACGCAGCAGTGCTCGAAGATCTGACAAAACTGGTTCGTCAGTTCCCAGATATTTTCCCGAGCGACTTGCCACCTTGACTACCACTGGAACGCCCTCAGGACCATCGGATTGAACTGGAATCTGGCACGCAGCCAGCTGTTTGGACACAGTGGCGGGTGATGCAACCTGAGCTCCAGGAATTACGGGACCAGGTGGACTATTTGCTGGCCAAAGGGTTCGTTCGACTGAGCACGTCCCCATTCGCCGCCCTGATCCTGTTCACGCCCAAGAAGGATGGGGGCCTCCGAATGTGCATTGATTATCGCTCCCTTAATCGGGTTGCGATAAAATATCGCTACCCAATCCCATCCGCGGACGAACTGATTGACCACGAGCGAGGAGGTCGCTATTTCTCGAAAATCGACCTTCGTGGCGGTTACCATCAGATTCGAGTTTCCGCTGACGACTGGCACAAGACCGCATTTCGTACTTGATACGGAAGTTACGAATACACTGTCATGCCGTTCGGCTTAATGAATGCCCCCTTGACGTTCCAACTGACGATGAATGGGGTATTCCAGGATCTACTCAACATATGAGTGATCATTTATCAAGATGATATCCTGTTTTACAGCACGACACGGGAGCAGCACTTAAAGGACCTGGAAGCGGTTTTTCAGTGCCTGCAGCAGAATCATGTCATCACCAAGGGCCTGCGAGTTTTTAAAACCCGAACTGGAGTTTTTGGGGCACGTTACAGCGACGGAAAGTATTGTCCACATGTTTGTGACTTAGAGGAATTTTGCCATTTTAGGGGGTCATGGACATTAAGACTTAATCTTCTGGTGTGCCTAGTGTATGTAGGTTGGGGTAAGGCTCGACGCCCATGCCTTACATCACACAAGTATAATGATGTTTACAACAAATACTAGAAAATAACAATCTTGGTACATGTGGACAATTATTGCCAGGCGCAAGCAGCAAGTTACATCAACCCCAAACTAGTACCTAATCCACCGCCCTTTCGCCTTAGACACCGCCCTCACCCTCCTGGGCATGCTTTCCACCAGGTGGGTGCACACATCCGCCGGGATCTTCTCCCATTTCTCCTGCACCCGCTCCCAGAGGTCCAGCATACCAGTGGGAGGCTTATAAGGCTTGGCCAGCTGCCTCTTGAGATGAGCCCATAAATGCTCCATTGGGTTGAGGTCGGGTGAGGAAGACGGCCACTCTAGCACCCCTGAATCTTACTCTCAAAGCCACTCCTATACGATACGCGACTTGTGCTTCGGGTCGTTGTCGTGCTGGAAGATAGTTTTTGAGGGTGTAAGCTAGTAAAGCTCAATCGTACTGTTGAGATCGTCCTGCAGTATACTCAGCGAGAGCAGTCCGTCCACCCTACCATATGTTTTGCTCATGAAACCCGCTCCCTTTTACGACATGCAGTTGTAAATTATCAAGCAACCGCCCCCGTGTTTGACGGTCTGCTTGATTTGGTGTCTTTGGAGGGGTGTCCCTTCGTGAACGCAGGCGTATGAGAGTCAGTCGGATGCAAGACGACCGATCTTGGTCTCATCCGCACAGATAACTCGCTTCTAGTCGTCAACCGTCCAGTCTGCGTGGGCACGCACCCATTCCAGCCTATCGCGTATGTTTTTCCGAGAGTGTCGCGGTTTCTTGGGATGCTTGATTGCGACAAGTCGGCTCCCATTCAAAGCGTTACGCAATGTCTTAGGATGCAACGTGATGCCGTGCTGCTTCTCAACGATTTTCGCCACGTGAGCGGAGATTTCTGCCTCCTCGAGGGTAATCGACCGAACTATGCCGTGGCGAACTCTCTCTGTCACTAAGCGAGGGCGACCGGCTGAGGGCATCGTAGGACGCACGTCATCGCGGCTAGACTCTACAATCGCCTTGATGGGCCGAACTCTTCCCTATGGCTAGCTGTTTGCGATTCAACGATTGCTCTACCCCCTCCGCAACAAGGGAATGATCTATGCGTAGAGCGCCTTATCTAACGGTTTCATGACGGCCTAATCATCGCAGCCGTCCTAGCCTATCTTCTGACTACTCGATAGTCGCGAGGGCAAGTAAGAAGAAATAGCGAGGTTAGGAAATAGATCTACTACGCTGCTTGGCCTAAACTGTCCGGATGCACCCACGCGGACGAAATCTCGTCCTCGGTAAAAAATCGACCCCTATAAAACTGAAACCAGCATCCGTCACATACAGTACAGTACTACTTTACATCCAACCCCGAAATTTGATTTGTAACTAAACAAAGAAAGCACCAAACCAGTACGAGAAATGTTTTAAGGCAAATATCCGGGCAATACTTTCCGTCGCTGTATTTCGACGGCCCGCAAAATGCGGGCCATTCAAGAATGGAAGCCGTCGACCAACCTCCGAGAGCTGCAATCGTTTTTGGGGTTCATCAATTATGTGTGCCGGCTTATCCCCAACATGGTGGGGTTAACAGGAGCCCTAACTGACCTACTTCATAAGGGCGTTGATTATCAGTGGGGGGTGAAACAGCAAGCTGCATTTGACAGATTAAGAAATGTTTTACTCTCGTCAACAGTACTTCGGATTGTTGATCCAGAACGCTCGTTCGAGGTCGTGACAGACGCAAGTGACATCGCCATCAGAGCAGTTCTGCTACCGGATTTTGGCGACGGCATTCAGCCAATCGCGTACAAGTCGCGAAAGTTATAATCAGCCGAGCGAAATTATCTAGTACATGACAAAGAAATGCTTGCGGTCGTGCACGCGTTCAAGATCTGGCAATGCTACCTGATGGAAGCCGATGTGACTATACGAACAGATCACAAATCCCTATAGTACCTACGAGTGCAGCCGAATCTCAACCCGCGGCAGATTCGCTGGTTGGATTATCTGGAGTCGAACTTCACGTACCGAATCACGTAAAAGAAGGGTGCCCTCTCCAGACCATCCGCCCAAACCGCCGCTGAATTAATCGCCCACAAGAACCCGTTGTTGAGTGGACTATTTACCCACAGAAATTCGATCGATCCCTTTTTCGTAAACAACGGCCACGGCAGGTCACGACTGCACGAGGAGCCTATTACACAAAAGCAGGAACATAACGAATTTAAGTTCCGAGTTATCATCTACTGTCGCCCTGCCCCCACTGCCTGTAAGCTGCACCAAGTGGGCCCAACTTGAATTTCAAGTTGGACCCGTGTTCACTACTCCAGCAAAACTGGGGCTGGGCCCCGATTGGTCGAAATGCTAAACACGCAACTCTATGGTCGTAAATTTTGTCGCCAGTGCGAAATGTCGCAAGCAAAGTTCAATTTCGTGGCCTTCGGCTTGGTAAAAAACTGGGGCTCCTGCCCGCCCCTCCAAAAACATATTCACTGTTGGGTCGTTTCTAGTTGGGCCCAACTAGAAAGGGGGGTCACTATTATAGTCTCTCGCTTTAAGAAGTCCACGATTCGAACTTATCGGGACATTTCAAGGTCGACAAGACTCTAAAGGCACAGCAACGATTTTATTACTAGCCTGACATGATTTCGGACGTGCAAAAATACGTGGGCGCATGTTCGATCTGCCAGACAATGAAATCATCATGCAAGTGCTCAGTAGGATTGTTGCAGCCCTTCGAGCCACCCCAGCGACCTTGACAATGCGTGACAATAGATTTTGCCACCGGCCTGCCAGCTGGACCAAGTGGTAATGACGCGGTTCTTGTTGTCGTCGACCGCCTCACGAAAATGGCTCACTTTGCGCCATGTCGCACGACGATCACAGCCGAAGAAACAGCGCGCCTATTCATCTCGGCTGTCGTTCGCCTGCATGGTATCCCTGTGGCGATCATCAGCGACAGAGACCCAAAATTCACCTCGTGCTATTAGCAAGACACGTGGAACCGATATGGCACCAGCCTACAATTCTCATCCACCTATCACCCGCAAACCGATGGTCAGACAGAACGGACAGATCAGACCATGGAACAGTTGATTCACACGAACTGGCTGGATACTCGCAAGTGGGAAGATTCGCTACCGATGCTCAAGTTTTACTACAACAACGCACCCTCCGCCATAACCAATCATTTGCCATTTTCCCTAAATTACGGGATGGATCCGATGAAACCCATTTCCACCAACGCTGAAAGTCAAGTCCCTCAATCGCAGCAGTTCGTCGAAGACCTTCAGACCGCCCGCACGTAGGGACGGGCGCGACGCCTCAGGGGAGGGGCTGGCTAGTGACGGGCGCGACGGCTGGGACGGGCGAGACGGCGCTGGGAGCCGGCTAGAATGGCCGCGGCGGCTCAGGGGAGGGGGGGGACTAGGACGGGCGCGACAGCGCAGGGGGCCGACTAGGAGGGGCGCGACGGCTCAAGGGGCCAGCTAGGACGGGCGCTAACAGCGCAGGGGGCCGGCTAGGGACGGGCGCGACGGGTCTGGGAGCCGGCTAGAACGGCCGCGGCGGCTCAGGGGGGGGGGGGTGGCTAGGACGGGCATGACGGCGCAGGGTGCCGACTAGGATGGGCACGACGGCTCAGGGGGCCGGCTAGGACGGGCGCGACGGCTCAGGGGGCCGGCTAGGACGGGCGCGAACGGCGCAGGGGGCCGGCTAGGAACAGGCGCGACGGCTCAGGGGGCCAGCTAGGACGGGCGCGAATGGCTCAGAGGGCCGGTTAGGACAGGCGCGAACGGCTCAGGGGGGGGGGGCGGCTAGGACGGGCGCGAACGGCTCAGGGGGCCGGCTAGGACGGGCGCGAACGGCTCAGGGGGCCGGCTAGGATGGGCGCGACGGCTCAGGGGGCCGGCTAGAACGGGCGCGAACGGCGCAGGGGGGCGGCTAGGAACAGGCGCGACGGCTCAGGGGGCCGGCTAGGAGGGGCGCGAGCAGCTCAGGGGGCCGGCTAGGACGGGCGCGACGGCTCAGGGGGCCGGCTAGGAAGGGTGCGAATGGCGCAGGGGGCCGGCTAGGAACAGGCGCGACGGCTCAGGGGGCCGGCTAGGACGGGCGTGAACGGCGCAAGGGGCCGGCTAGGAACAGGCGCGACGGGCTAGGGGCGGCGCGACGAGGGTCTAGGGCGGAAGCGTGGGCGGCGGGACCTACCTACCAAGCGTGATACCATCTTAACGTAGGATTGAATGTCGAGAGAAAAATGTATAAGGGTATAAGCCTACGTGTTGTACCCTCTAAGATACGAACCTATACAGTCTTTACAAATATAACCTATATATATGTTTGACAAGAAATGGTTGTAACCGCGGGTGTGTTTTGCTGTAATAGCGCTAGTAGAGCTGCCACTTGCTTGTTGGTCAAAGCAAGGGCGGCGGGTGTTGGCGCGCTGGACGAGGCCGCCCCGCGGCCTTGCTTGTTCTGACGCGAGGGGCCCGCCCTGCCGTTCGGCGCCTTCTGCGCGCTGGCGTCAGCAGGTGACGCGCCATCCGCTACTTGCGTCGCCTGCTGCTCGCTGGCGCGTGGCTCACCAAGCTCAACTTGGTTGACCTCGCCACTGCGCAGAAACACGTCGA